GTGTGTGTGTGTGTGTGTGTGTGTGTGTGTGTGTGTGTGTTAATATATCTAATGAATTGGTAGATTTTCGCAAAACTCTCCAAATGTAGCTGAATGAAAATCTACAACTGATTTGGTTTTTCGAAATGGCTGCATAGCTAGCTGACTTTAAAATACACATAAATATCTATAACTTGGTCAGTTGTGTACTGTAGATATTGCACAATTTGATGTGGTAGTGCCTGACACTTCTCTAAAACATACAGTCAGAGTGCTGACTAATGGTGCAAGATTACTGGGTTTTCTCCTGAACCTGCTGCCTCTGCAACCCAAACACAGATGAGCGATAGAAATAGATGTTTTCATATGACTGATGTATTGCTGTGGACCCAAAGACATAGTCAGCTCAGTGTGAGGATGATTGGATAAGCAGTCTTTATATTTGAAATAAAAATATGATCCTGCTGTCCATTTAAGCTTTATCATTGATATATTCCAAGGATGATGATGAATACGGCTGCTTCTGCAGCTCTTTTTAAACACAAACTGTGCGCAAAATAATAATTTATTATAATATGTCTTTTATCGTTTTTGAACTGCTTAAAGGCCACCTTACTGTCATGTTGCTTTTCATTCACAGCAGCTTTCAAATCAGAGCTTGTGACAAAAGTAGATATTTGTGTTCAAGCTTGTCTTTTAAAGGCTGTCTGAGCAGGCCATGGCAAAATCCTGATCCTTGAGCTGTGACTGTTTGACAATCAAGGGCAAAGTTTCATTGTCATGTTACTGCAGTCATCGTGCTGTCACACGGTTTTATTATCAAGTAACAAAGGTGGTTTAGGACTGTGTTTTTTTTAAAGCGGGGACCAGGGGGGCCTCAGAAAGCTGAAGGGAAGTTAAGAAAAAAATTGTGAAAAAAAATGATAAATGTTCTAAACATCATAAAATCAAATCTGTTTTTCAAAACATTATATTAAAATACAATATATAATAAGAAGAGACTTTAAGAAGGGGTTGTTTTGCTAAACAAAATAATTATTGAATATTGAATAAAAGTGAGATATTTCTTCACATATTTTGTAGCATTTTTTGTGTGTTGGCAAGCAGAGTTCCCAGCCAGACACTAATGACATTTGGGGGGCCGTGGCGTGAAAAAGTTTGGGAACTCCTGGTTTAGGCTGCAGCAACTCAGCGGTCACTGCTGTGGTCTTGTAATAATGAGGCCACATGTTTGAACCTAGTTTGTGTCAAGAAGGGCATCTTGTGTGAATCATTTGACCAAACCTTTATGTGAGCTTGCTCGATGTGGTGATCTGAGGGAAGCAACCGAAAAAACATCAGCTATTATAACACATGCCACAGGTGTTGCCAAAAAATACAATTTAATCAAAAAGTTGAACTGGATTGCTCTTTGAAGTTGCATTTTTAAACTCAGAATGTCTAAAGCAGTGTTTCCCAAAATTGGGGTCGGGACCCAAAGTGGGGTCCCGAAACATCAAGGTGGGGTCCTGAAAAGATTTTCTGAATTAATTACATTTTTGCCTTAGTTGTTACAAAGGAGTGAGGTTAGTGTATTTAAAATGGATAAATGTAGTATAAAAATATTGTTACTGTGCCCATGTTTTGTTGACCGGATACAAATGTTTATCATCCAAAAATAGTTGGGGGCACAGGTCTCTGCTGCTGTTATTTTGTGGGTCAAAAGCTAAAAAGTTTGAGAACCACTGCACTTTGGTTCCCAAAGTTGGGCTTGGGACCCAATTGTGGGTCATGAAGCACCTTTGATAATCTCCAGAAATCAATTTAAAGGGGCAATATT